AGTCTCGTTTATTTTCTTGGTATACAATTGCGTGCTCTAATATTTGATTTGTTAGCTTTATACTTTAATTTTTCTTCGGTGATATAAAAAAGTAGGGATAGTTTGGTAATCAATTTATATGGTGAAAGAAACTCCTATGAAAATTTGGTAATCAATTTATATTTTAACTTTAATTGGTTACCAATTTTTTTTTTCACATTTCCATTTTTTGAAGAACTAAAAAAATGAAAAAGAGAAATAAAATAGAGGAGGGTTGGGCTAACTTTTCTTTGGTTACCAATTTTTTTTTTCCACATTTTCAGTTTTTGAAGAATTAAAAAAAATGAAAAAGAAGAAAATAAAAATAGAGGAGGGGTGGGCAGATGGGAGGGAAGTGGTGGGGGTGATGAGTGAAAAGTAAAATGTCAAAAATTGAATGGAACCTCACATAACTATTGTTGGCTGGACCTCTAGAACAGGATCATCCTCCCGAATTGGAAGAAATTGGAAAAAAATAGCAGAAAAATGTCAAGGACTTCCCTTAATAATTTCAGTGATTGCAGGGCATCTCTCTAAAAACGGTTCCCAAGACATTAGAAAAGTTGGAAGTATGTTGCCAAAACCTTAAGTCAAATCATTGCTAGTCATCCAAATAAATGCTTAGGAGTGCTCGGTTTGAGTTACCATCACTTGCCTAATCGACTCAAACCATGCTTTCTTTCTCTGGGTGATTTCCCAGAGGATTTTTCAAGTTGATACTCGGAGATTGATCCAATTATGGATCGCAGAAGGTTTCATAAGGACGTCTTCCGGAAGTCGTGAAAGCTTGGAGGAAGTGGCTGAACATTATTTGGAGGATCTTATCAGCAGGAACTTGATAATGGCTAGAAAAAAGAGATTCAATGGTGAGGTAAAAGTATGCGGAATACATGATCTGCTGCGTGAGTTCTGTTTGATAGAAGCTGAAATGACAAAGTTTATGCATGTTGTGAGAATTCCATTCTCACCAGCACAAAAGCCTAATTTTCGTCGCTTCAGTATTCAAGAGTATATTGGGGATGCTTATAAGCTCTTACCCCGTGTAGCCAGATCTATCTACTGCTTTTCTTTCTTGGGTCTACCTATTGAACCCCGTATTAAGCTTCTTCCTAAATTGCCCATCTACCGTCATGATCCTATAATACATGGATTTTTCTCTTGTTTCAACCATCTCAGGGTATTGGCCATCGTCCCTTGCTGCTTCCACTCATTTCCACTTGTGATTACAAAGTTATTTCATTTGAGATATCTCCAAGTTCGATGTCTTGGAAATATTCCTGAATCAATCTCAAAGCTTCTGAATTTGCAAACTCTAATTTGTGATGGTAATTCTTTAGAGATAACTTTAACTAGGAAGATATGGATGTTGAAGAACTTGAGGTATATACGTGTAGGGGGAGTCACTTATTTACCGTATCCTATAATAGATAACAATCTTGTGACAGGGATGCCAAATCTAGAGGAATTTTTTGGTCTTAGTTACTCTAGTTGTACAAATGAAGTCTTTTCTAGGATCCCCAATTTAAAGAGATTGATCATTCCTGCACATTTTAGCATACTAAACAATATTCTGTATCGTCCCTTCGATATGTCCAGCTTGACAAAACTTGAGACATTCAAGTTTTACTGGAAAGATTATTTGGAAGACCCCATCAAGATATTTGTTTTTCCAGAATCACTTAGAAGAGTGTCTTTAACTTGGTGTTGTAAGTTTATTTGGGAAGAGATATCATCAACTTTTATCATGTTGCCACATCTTGAAGAGCTCAAACTTAAATATTGTCAAGCCGAA